GATGACCCCTAATGAGATGGATTGGTCAAGTGGCAGCATGGGTGGACTCAAGCGTGGCAACAGTAGTGAGGTTGGCCCAGGATCGGGCAGTGTTTCCTTCTGCTGTGCATAAGGTCGCTATGAGTTGGTACCAACTTGATGGCACCTAACAACAGCAACAACAACATGGCTTGGTGAAGGAGAAGCGGGGAGTTGCCATTTAATAACTACAGAGTTTCCGTTTTGGGTGATGAAAAAGTTTTGGAAGTAGTGGTGGTGGTTGTCAAAAAAATTAGGTGTTATTATTTACGTTCTTTAGTTCATAAGATTCTAATTCACAAACCAATCTGTAAAGTATCCCACAAAACCGGAACAAAAGTAATGAGAGCTACAGGAGCTGCCTGAGAGTGATCAGTTGAACGTGAGAGCATGGGACCTGGGTAAGAAGACTAGACTGGAAAATCTCGTAAGAATAGCTTTATTGGGAGCAGAGGCAAATCCAAGTTTTGTGAGGCCTGAATCTTAAACAATTTGCTGGTTTTCCTAATAAAAAGCATACAAAATTATGAATGCTAAGTCAGGTACAAGGCATTGGAAGAGAACTAAAGCTTTAAACTTTCCGAGTATTCCACCACTGGCTGCAAGGAATAACTTATGAAAAAGTAGAAAAGGGGGTAAGTCCAGGATGAGAAGTAGATTATGTGTGGCTAAATGGAGCAAAATGATATGTTGCATTGGGCCAATATGCTGCAAAAAACCTCTTTAAAGTGTTAAAAAGCAAAGATGTCACTCTGAGGACTAAAGTGCACCTGATCCAAACCATATTATTTTCAGTTGCCTCATATGTATGTGAAAGTTGTACAAGGAATAAGGAAGACTGGAGAAGAATTGATGCATTTGAATTAGCAAAGAGTATTGAATATACAACAGACTACCAAAAGAATCTGTCTTGAAAGTACATCCAAAATGCTGCTTAGGCAAGGATCATTCCCACTCCATCCATACACAGAGTAGACAGGGATGGGCAACTT